GGAGGGGAAGGCAAAGCTGTACTGTAGGCGAGCTCATTAGCCAGCACCCCCACACCTCCACTAGGAGGAGGGCGGGCGGCCCAGGGAGCTGGTGGCAGAAGCAGCAGAGAAAAGGCTGTCACTGTCCTTTCTTCCTTTTGGTATAAGAGTCTCCCCGAGCCGGCGATTCTCCTGTAGTGACACCTCTCACGGGCACTAATGAGATCCATGTCACAGAGCTAATGCGCTCTGACTAGGCTCTTGATAGACACCCCACTCCTTCAGGGGAGACCACAGGCCAGTACTGCCCTCCTGGGGCCAGACCCCCATCCTGCCACTTGCCAGCCCAGCTCTCTTGCCAAACTGTGCTGGGCAACAAACTCCTGAGAGAATCCACTTGTTGTCTGGCCATCCTGCCTTACCAGGAGCCTCAGAGGGACCCTCCTCAGTCCCTGAGCAGAGGGGTTAAGCAACCAGGGCAGGACCACCCAGCTGGACATCAGGGAAGGTTCCAGTTATTCTCCAAGACAGCTGAAACCAGCAGTCTATGGGCCTCCACGTCCCAACAACTGGTGAGATTTACTAACACTTCCTTTGCAGACTTCCCAAAAGAAAGAAGCAAAGGAGGCCTGGGTCTTGCCCTTAGAGAGGTCAAGTGTGTGGGGACTGATCATTAGCAAACAAATTATGATCAGGGACTAAAGGTGTATTCTGTACACCCTCACTGGGAGGGCCAGGCAGGATTCCCAGAGGAGGTGGCCCCTGGAAGATGGACAGGTTTTCCTGAGCCAAGAGGTAGAGGGCAAACCGAACTCACAGAGTAAGGACTGTCGGGGTCAGAAAGAGGTCAGAAGCCAGTGGTTGTGGGGCCTTGGCTCTGAGCGCGACTACAGCAGGAGTGAAGGGGTGGCGGTGCTTCCTTTCCGTTCTTCCTCAGTTGTTGCTACTGAAGCTTTGTCACGGCCTGTAAGTGTCACTGACACTGAAGGGAATGAGGGAAGTGAGCTTATTTTCTTCCTACTTGTCTCTGTTGGTAGCACAAAGCCTGACACCAAAAGGTACTCCCAGTTTCACAGTGATAAGAACAAAGGCTTTGCATTTATACGGTCCTGGGTTTGAATCCTGACTCCTCAAGTCAATTGGCTGAGTGGCCTCAGACAAGTAACTTAACTAGTTAAGCCTCAGTTTCCTGCCTTATACAATGGGAATGATGATGTCTGCCTTCATAATACTGGTGTGAAAATTAAATTCGTTAACACAAATGCCCCCAAATAATGTGCGTGTCTTGCTGACCCTGGGCTGGAAGGAAAGCAGCACAGCACTGAGCAGTCCCTGTGGAGGCTGCCTGCCGAGGGTCTTTGGTCCAAGCCAAGGAAGCGGACAGAGCCCACGAAACAGCCAGTTCCACACACATGCAGTCCCTCCTCACCCACAAGCCGCTCCAGCAGCTCTCTGCTCACCAGGCCAATCCCCTCCCCCAGGAGGCGTCCTCCCAACTGCGAGGCCATACTGACAGCCCATAGCCCGTCCTCCCAGAGCTTCACCGCTTCCATCGCTGGGCCCCCTCTCCCTCAGTCCCCAGGGCCAAGCCGTTACCCCCTCCTGGACGGTGCCTGTGGGCTCTGTGAGGGCTGGGCACTGTGTCACTTTACCAACACATTTCTAGCACTTATCACATAGTAGGAGCGAAGTAAATGTTCACTGACTTGGTCCTGACTCCATTCCCACAGCCACTGCTGGTTCTGAATTAACCATCACCCCCATGCACCTTACTGCACCTCCCCTTCTGCAGTTTCCCCTCACTAGTCTGCCCTGCACACACTCTCAGGCTGCTCTGACCAGGTCACTCCTCTACCCAGACATTCCCACACTCCCCCTCAAAAAACTCAGCCACCCATATCCATCCTAACAGCCATCTCCCCTTCTGTAGCTGCCCCCCCCATCAGTCCACCCCTCCCGTATGCCTGCTCCCTTGCTCTCTCAGCATCCCCACCACCCAATGCTTGGCAGGAGTCCCCGCAATGTAGACCCCACAGGCTCCTCCTGCCACACATACCCAAGAAAGAGGCTCAGGATCATCAGTGGGCTTAGGGTCATTGGTAATTTGGGAGAACCAAGCAGATCCTGGAGATGGCTAAGCTATGGGATCTGCAGAACCCTTGCCCAGCATAACCAATGCTGCCTCACCCCCACCCCCAATATACATACCACTCCCCACTCCAGGCTGGCAGCTCCTCACAGAGTTAATTAGCACCATGTCACTGAGGACCAGCCTGAGTGGCCAGTGACAGGAGCTGACCCCTGACCCCAGGGCTGGGAAATAGTCCACATCAAACTCTTACAGCACGACCCTTTTAGCACGCACAGTAACTCGGGGCACCGCCAGCTGAAGCTCATTAAAGCTGTCTCTTTGGCGCGAGGGCCATTAACCTCACTGCTCAAAACCCATGCCTCCCCTCCCCGCCTCTCCCAGCCCAATTAATGCCCTGCATCTTCCCTCCCTTCCAAGAACCCTCACCCACACCTCAGAGCCAACCAGGAGCTGGCAGGGCAGCCCCCTTCATTCAAAAATACAAACACCAAATACCAGGAATCCCCAGTGTCCTTGAGTACCCACTGTGTGCCAGGCACTGCACAAGCCCTTCACACAGCTGACTTCACTGAACCTTCCCAACAGCCATGAGAGGCAGTAGCACCATCCCTTGTCCAAGGTCACAGGGCTCTGGATGGTAAAACTAGAACAACTGGCTCCAAAGCCCTACTCTGTTGTCACTCACAGCCTTGGGCTGTCCCCTGGGGCCCACCCAGATGGAAAAACCTTCTCTTATAAAGAAGAAAGGAACACTTCAGGGGTCCTAACCCAGAATTGACATGAGTGAAGAGAGAAGAAGGGCACCACTGAGTCCCAGGAGGCAGCAAACAGTGGAAACAAGGAAGCCCTTCCTCTCAAAAATATACCCTGGATAGATACATGGAAGCAGGGCACCCAGCTCCCTGTGCAGGGTGAGTTAACCCAGTCCGGCTGGTCCCTGCCACTGGCCAAACTCAATTACAGGCAGTTCCTCCTCCCCCGGGCCAATGCAAGTCCTCTCACTGGTCCTCGTTCTCTGGTCTCTCCCTTTCCCATCACTCTTTCATTGACTCATCTACTCGTTCATTCACCAGCTGATTGGATTTATTGAGCACCATTAAGAACTAGTTTGTGCAGCACAGAGTGCCTCAGTGTGTCTGAATCAGAGCTCTGATCACGCTGTTTTCTCACAAACCTCCTGTCTCATCAAAACCTCATGAGAAATCCACTCCCTTTAACCTGCCATCCCAGGCCCTCTTACGTCCCCACTGATTTTCTAGCCATTCCCTAACCCAAAGGTCCCACTGCAGTCACTGGAAACTATTTGTAGATGTCTCACCTGCCATCTCAGTATGCCAGGCTTCCTCGTGCCCTCAGGCTTTGTACACACACTTCCCTCTAAGAAGAAAATCCTTTCCCCATTTTTCTGCCTAACAAACTCCTATTCATCCTTCAAGGATCTGCTGACTCAAGTGTCCTCTTCTCTAGGAAACTTTCTGCTTACCTCCCAGGCATATCACCTTGCTAGGTTTGGGGTCTCCACTAGATTGCATAGAACAGCAGTTGGGAGACAACAGCAGTTGGGAGCAATTGCTGTGGGGTACCCCCCAAATCCTTAGGCCCATTGACCACCCCCCACCCCCAACAAGAATGATACAGGGCGTCCCAGAAGTCAGTGAGTTGTAAGTGAAGGAGAGAAGCCATTTGGCAACTGAGAAAACGTTGTTTGGGGCAGCCCAGGTGTTTCTAACACAGCCCTCAGTGGCCTGGGTAGCAAATGCCCCGTTCAATCTCTGTCTCCTCCAGGATATGAGCTCCCTGAGGACAGGAACTTCTACTCAGAATGCCCAGCACCCACCAGGCACCAATGATGTCTGTGGAAAGGATGAGGGGCTCATCTGTAGCAAGTGACTGGTTCCTTTGGTGTATCTTGCCAGTCCCCTCCTTCAGCCCCTGATACCTTCCAAAAGGTACATAGGTTATGATAATGTCATAGTGCCACCCAAGAATACCCCTGTTCCTCTCCACTTGGAACAAAGCCTTGCCTGCTAAAAACCATTTGCATGCACATGTATGCACATGCACACAAAATAAGACACATAGAAATGAACAGACATACTTTCTGACAAGCTGATGATTGCTCCCATATACAGACACATGCCCTCAGGAAAATATAGAGATATACTGCTACACACATGCATCCCTCAAATATAGACATACACGGATACACATATACTCTTAGACACACGGAGACATGCAGCTGAAGTTGCCAAATGTACATGCGCACGCGCACACATACACACAGTCACTCACAGACAGGCACATATCCATACTGAGAGATCAGAGGCTAGCAGAGCCTCCAATGCTTAGAACCACGGCCATTTCAGCTCCTTCCAAGCAGTAATCCCCCTGAGGGTGCACCCCCACCTGGTACCCCAAGTGGCCCCTCCCAACCCAGGCACCGTTCAATGGAGGCTGCTGCTCCTGCGGGGGAGTCAATACCCTGTGGACGGAGCCATCGGTCAGAAGGACCCCGACTAATTAAAAGCTGGTGAGGTTTAAATAATTCATCTCCTTAACTCCCATTGATCGCCCAGTTTAGTGGCCACAGACTTGAAACAATATTAAACAGCCTCCTCCAGCTCCACGGGGGGTGGGTGAGCTGACAGGTGCCCACCCCTCTGAGGACATCTCCACCAGAGATTCAGCCAGAGGCAGGGGTAGCTTGGTTTGAATCCAAGGCCACCTGTGACCCCCCCAAAGCCCAGACCCCAGTCTCCTCCTAAATATTGTTTTGAGAGACCCTTTCCAATGGTCTGGTTTCATTCTCCCTTCATACCCCGCTTTCCCCGCTCTCCCCAGCTACGGAGAGCACCTTGTTAGAGCTCAAAAAAAGCCACAGAACCCCTCTGTGAGCCAGGGGACTGGGGCATGTGGACAGGAGACTGACCAGGCTGCCAGGGGGACATGTGGAAGGACTGACCAATGCCGCTGTGGGGCCGGCCTATGTGCTGCAGGCTGAGGCCCTTGTTCATGTCTAGAAGTCCGTTCTTGGGCCAGCAGCCCATGGCGAAGCTGTAAGCCTGGAAGACAGGAGGCAAGAATGGTTAACAGAGGCCCTGACCCTGAACCAACCCATCACTCCCCCCATCAAATCTTTCCCCCAAGGACTTATTCTCATCATACCACTTCACGATCGTCCCCTCACGGGGTCCCCTTGCCACCAAAAACCCCTTCCGGCTCTAGAGCTCCCTTTCTCCTGGGCATCTCCCTTTGGCCCTCACTGGGTGCCCCCTCACAACTCCTCTAGAGAGCTCCTATTTACTAAGACCCTCCTTGTCAGGACCCCGCCTCTCATCACGGGACCCCCTTCACCTTAAATTCCCTCCTCTCCAGAGTCCTCAGCACTCTGCTGGGCCCCCTCCCATAGCATTACTGGTCGCAGAGACTGTGGTCCGGAAGACTTGGAGACTAACGTATTCACACTTCACAGATAGGAAAACCAAAGTGAGAGGGGGCCCCACCTGCCTGTGGTCGTTGCTTTTGACCCAGAGACAGGCGAGGCTATAGAAGGCTGAGTGCCATGTGAGTGTTCAACTGGGGAGGGGTAAAGTCACCTGGTGACTCAAGCAGCAGTGAGGGGAGCACATGAAGGGTGTGTGTGTGTGTGTGTGTGTGTGTGTGTGTGTGTTAGGGGAAGCAGATCTCTGCTGAAGGTCAAGTGCTCACTTATGCATATTCAAAGCGGCCACCCATCGATCTGTACTTAATTGTTTTCCTGGGGTTGGGGAAGGAAGTGCTGGGGGCATCGATCTGCTCAGACCCCCAGCACTTCATTGCTCCCCTCCATCCCCTACTCCTGTCACCTGACAGCGGCCAAACTCCATGGGGAAGGAGGAGTAAGGTACATGGCAGGACAGGGATGGCACCTGCTCTTACAGCCCTTACAGGCATGATGACCTGATGTCACAGGTGAGGAAACTGAGACCCAGAAAGAAGAGACATACAAGGGTTAGAACACCATTAAGTGGCCCATTGGGAATTTAATTCCTGCTCAGCCTGCTGGCAAAGTCCTGGGCCCCTACCAGTGGGCTTGCATAGCTAGCTGACACTTCAAACATTATCCTTCCACTCACTTTAGAAGTCCCCAAACATCAGGCTGCCTTCTCCCAGTGGCAGGAAGCATGTGGGACAGTGGTCAATGGGAATGAAGCTTAGGTGAGTCCGCTGATGATACTAAAGTGACCGTAGCCATGGTCAGACAGGCACTGAAGTGACCCTGCCCATCACTATGCCCAAGAGGTCCCCAGCCCACCGCAGACTCCTTCATAAGGGAGAGCACCCAGCATAGGTTCAGAAACAAAGGCAGGAAACTGGACACAAAGTCCGTGCCAGGGCTGAGGAGCTGGGCAGAGGGCTAGTATCCTTCGTTCCCAGCTGCAGGAACCTAGCCTCGCCCCCCCGGAGAACTGAAAGGCTAGGAGTCAGTGTACTTCACCCTTAGCACCCTCCAAAGCCATTATCCTTGACCACAGAGGTACTAGCCACAGCCCAACTTCCCAGCCAACCCTCCTACCCTTTCCCAAGTCACAGCTGCAACCACAAATTGGGGGCTGAGTGTGAGACTCAAGGACAGGGGAGAGGTCGCTGGCTTTGAGCCAGGGCGGAGCTGGAGCTGGGAACGCAGGCGGGGAGGGAAAGCAGCCAGTGGGTGGTGCAGAGCTGAAGAAGCTGCTATGCATGGTCAGGGCCAGGGCTGGAGTGCAGTGGGCCAGAGAGCAGTGGCGGGCTGGCTTTCAAGTACTTTAAAATCACTTACAAAGGCCGGATTAAACGATCAGAAATTCCATTTAATAGGACAAATAAAGAAATAACAATCTACTCTATCAGCCTGGAGAAGGCAAGCTGGATAGTTTTTTTTCTCCTTCTAAAAAGGAAAAAGGGAAGGAAGGGAAAAAAAGAAGGATAATGTGTGTTTACTCAAGCAAAGAAAAAAATATTTAAGTGATGTCGGGGAGAAGATTGCAGTAACTAGTGAAGAATAACATCGTCTACTTTGCTGTCAAATCACACCCGAATTTCAGTAATAGATTCTCGGCTGACACTCAATTCAATTCGAAGGTGATCCTGCTTTATCCCAGCCCATCAAATATTAAACACTTGCATTAGCAGGTGCTGCCGCTTCCCGGCTTAAAGCGGCGGGCGGGCGGCAGGGCTGCTGAGGCCCCTCTGCTCTGCTCTCGGCTCAGGGACAGGGCAGCTCAACGTTATCTGCACGTCATCCTGAGTCTTATCGCAGCTAAGAGAGAAGACCACTTCAGATAACATTAGACGCTTGCCCCAATGCGTGTCAGTATGATTAGATTATTATTATAATAATGACTCCCCAAGAACTTCCCCCGACTGGGACATGCGGAAGGGGGGTGGAGGGCAGCGAGTCCAGGAGGACCAGGCTGGACCAGGGCAAGCCAGAACCCACGGCAGCAAACAGGGGCACCAAGCAAGGCGGCAGCGCCGGTCCCGCCTGACGGATGCCTTTCAGGAAGGGCAGTCTAGCTTGTCAGAGCCAGGGCGAGATGAATTGGCGTCTCCACCGTGGCCGCGGGTGTCATGCCGCACAGTTTCATATTCCCAGATAAGTGTGATAACCAATTGCTGCTGTGACATGGCCTCATCCAGCACTTCCTCAGGGGGGCCCAGGCGGGGGAGGGGCAGTGCGTGCACATGGGTCTGGCAAGCTCCTAATAAGAGGGATTTAATTTTTACAAATGCTGCTTCCAGCGGGGCCTTCACATACCAGCCAAAGTCCAAAATGATATTAAAAATGGTTAATTAAAACTGCTCTTCTTCAGCCTGGGCTCTCCCTCTGCTGCCCTGCTGAGAATCCTGGCATGTCTCCTCCAGGCACTGCCACATACTCCTGCAGAACTGAAACTTCACGCGTGACCACCAGTCTCATGGAACCCTCCAGGCACAGTAAGATGGACAGCACCTCAAGCTACCCCTGCCACCTCAGGCACCTTTCAGGCACAGCCAGTGGACACAGAGAGCCACGCAGCGAATACAGGGTCCTATAGCAACCTGTGCGCCCACCAATATGAGGTCTGAATACTTATACCTGCTGCCCTATGCACTTGTACCCACATGCCCACCACCCTCAGCACACATTTCTAAAGTCCCTGCCCTCCCCCCAGATATATGCACTATGGAGCGTGCATACCCATGCAAGTGTGCCCTTCCTTCCATTCCCACCCCCTCCTGACATCCTCCCTAAGAGATTACATTCACCCAGGATTCTTTTTTTTAAAAAATATATTTTTATTGATTTCAGAGAGGAAGGAAGAGGGAGAGATAGAAACATCAATGATGAGAGAGAATCATCGATAGGCTGCCTCCTGCACACCCCTAACTGGGGATAGAGCCCGCAACCCAGGCATGTGCCCTTGACTGGAATCGAACCCAGGACCCTTCAGTCCACAGGCCAACACTCTATCCACTGAGCCAAACCGGCCAGGGCTCCACCCAGGATTCTTAACAGAGACTTCCTGGGAGTCCATTTCAGAACAGGGTGGTGTGGGCTCTATGTCAGATTCTGGCTGGGAAGTCAAGTCTGGGACCCAGGGAACCATCAGAGCCGGATGATTCAGGAGGCTGTCCACAGGGACAATGGAGACAAATAGGCCCATGTGGGATTGGAGGCGGCTAGGAAAGCTTCCTGGAGGGCACCAGGTAGAAGACATAGCAAGGGCAAAGGAGAATGGCAGGAGCAAGCTTGGCGAGTGCATAGGCAAGGGCTTGGGTGTTGCTGGGGCAGCCAACACGGACAGAAGGAGTCATATCTTCAGATGCTGCCTCCCAGCTCTGTGCAAACTGGCATCAATCGAGGGGCCCCAATTATAGTCTACCGCCTTTCCCCCACTGCTTCCTATTTCCACTCTTTCTCTTCTGCCAGCCTGTGTGGTGTTGGGGTAAGGGACCCAGTAGCTTTCTGACCTTGATCAGTGTGGGGCAGGAATCTGTTTTAAGAGCTCTTGCCAAGATCTGTGCCTGAGCCCCTTTTTCATGCTGGTTCCAAATTCTCTGGGTGCCACTTTTCCAGCTGCACTTCTGCCAGCCGTCAGGCCCACTTGATGGGTTCCTGACCAGAGGGTGGGGCAGGTGGAAGGATATCTGAGGAGCCCAAGTCCTGTCCAGGGTAGGTGGAGTTGTGGTGAGAGATGCTGGTCCACCAAACTGCGCCCTCCCAGCCCTGTGCCAGGCAGGCATGCACACTTCCCTTCCCCTGGGCTGCTGTAATTTCCATGCGCAGGGAAGCAGGTGCCGAGCTGCTCCCGGCTGGCTCTCCCCTCTCGTGCTCTGCCCGCCTTGGCTGCTGCCCCATTAGCTTAGTGGCCAGCCATCTGCGACGGGCCTGCCACGCAGCCCTGCTGTAGGCGCGGCGGGTGGCCCCCTGTGTAACAGGGAGCTTTGCCATTAGCGCCTTTAATATTCTGACACCTCAGCACAGCCTGCTATTACATGCAAACGCTGATCGCCCTGTGAAATTACATTGCTGGGCCCGCGAAATGGAATCGTGTATAATCAGCCTCCTCCATGCACTGTCAGTCCCATCACAAACACGGCGCCCGGCGGCTTACGGGGGCTTAGCAGCTGCGACAAGTGTATTGGGTTTAATAGATGAAGTAGCCCTCATCGGCAGCAGCATCAGATCCTTCAAAGAGGAAAGAAGAGGCATCGACAGCTGCTGGGGTGTCTTTGCCCACCCACTCACTACCTACCAGGGCCCTTAGAGTAGGGTGGACACAGAGGGAGCAAGAACCTAGCTCAAACTGCAGACAGAAGCACAGACTACCCTGCAACTTCCAGAAAACCGAGAGCTCCCAAGCCAACACCAGCACACCGACATACCCAATCTCTCCACAAGTTGGGGAGGAGCAGGCCTTTAAGCAGATCTCTGGGTGACTGTCACCCTCTGGGCCTAAGGCTGATGGGCCATTTGCCAAGATGAGGAACCAAATCAAACCAAATGCCATTCCCATGAACACTCAACTGACAAAGCTGTAAACATGATACTCTGGAGGAT